CTCTTCTACATTAGTTCCGGTTTGCGATGGATCGTGCAGATTTGAGCGTTACGTAACGATTAGCAATGTTTTGAAGTATTAGCCGTACAGTAGTTTTGTTGTTACAACTAAATTTTACAGTATCTGTGAAATGCAGCAGTAGCTTCTTATTAAAATGGTAAGTTGAAATCAATAAGTTTGATTTGAGAAAAAACGTTTGGTTTGAGCTCTGAGGAAAGTTATATGGTATGTAACAGCAGGTATGACGTAAATTTCTATCTTGTAACTTTAAGAAACTTTATGCAAAGTGCGACAAATAATATAAATTTGAACTTAAGTGAACCAGTGGTGTGTATATTGAACATGTTATTCTGTCTCGCGCGTAAGTTATCATTACTCAGTTAAGCATAATTTTCAGTCAAAATAATCAAGTATTTAACATCTATTCAGAGATTATTATAGTAGACCTATGTTCTTTCTTAGTGATAGTCTGTCTTGTATTTAAACCGTACCGAGCAGATTATCGTCCTAACGCGTTAAACGTCCTACTACATATTGCAGGTTCTCTCAAATTTCTAAAAACTCTTGCAATTTAAATAAATTACGTTCCCAGCTGCAATGGATCCCAATTCGTCAGCGCCGCAGTTTACGAGCACTGACTTCTCTCTTTTCTTTCCTCAACTCTCCATCGTTACCTGAGTACCTCGTACCCCACTTCCGGTTCCTATGCTCCAATCACGATCGAAATCTTCGATCAACCAACAATATGCTTCTTCTATGCCCCCCTCACACCTCTAACTTCATCAACTCCTCCTTCTACGTCCAGTCAGTTCTCCTCTGGAATGCCCTCCCTGCCGAAATCAGGATGTCAATAAATCGCCTTGCATTCAGAAGGAAAGTGCGCGATCTTCTTCGGGGTGAATTGGCGAAATAGTTACAGCTGTATGTATGTGTGTTTTTATATTGTGTATGTTTCTGGACCTAAATTATGTTAATACCATATTTGATTTTGCACCTACCGCATCATATTTCTACATCACCTGAAGGTTGACTGGGACAGAATGCCTAATGGCATTAAGTCCGCCTTTGTACAATATGTGCATTAAGTTTAAAATAAATAAATAAATAAGTATCGCAAAATAATTAGTTCGTGGTTTTCTGTTAAAGACTGGAATCCACGTTTTAATTTAATTATGTATCCCAACAAATGAGCGTGAACCATTTACAATAAATAGCCTAGCCGGTTTTATTTTCCTGGCCTGAAGAAGTCTGTTAAGTTAGAGAATTTAAGAGGAACCATAGGTTTGCACAGATTAGGTGCCTAAAACAAATGTGCTAAAGCTATAGTGTGTGATTTATACATTGGTAACAATGATTATTGGTTTGCAAAACTACTTACATTTTTTGTCGGACAAGGCCTTAATAGACTGGGCCAAGTTTATCGCGGGACATGGATGTATAAACAAAAGGCCTGTGTTCGAGATCTTTTTGAACTGGTAGGTACAACAGGCGTCCTTGTAGCGAGTGTAAACACTATTGTTTGATCACGTGGCTAAACCCATTATGATCTGATAAAGGGGTTTGCGCCCATACACCTTTGTTCCATAGTTACTTCGGTAACAATGTCTGCCATAGAGACGTTTATTTCTTTGAGTTTTCTTTATTTCCAATTAAGCCAATCAAGAAAGTAGCTTTAATACAATAATCTATGAACATATATTAAAATTTTGTAATAAAATACACTAGTTACAGTTTTAAAGCTCATCAAATCAATTAGTTCAACTATGAAAACTATACTTTATTAAGTAATGTATTTTTACTCTCTGAATTAAACTAACATATTCATGAACTAGCCCGTCATGGTACCCGTGACTCCATTCGAGTGGTTTTGAAAAGCGCTGCCTTAGTGGGTTCGGTGCCCGGACCAGGCAAAATTTTAAAATGTAACTTACATTTTAAAATTTTGCCTGGTCCGGCATCCACTCCTTATATAGACAACTACCTGGTTGTAAAAAATTATAAAAATCGGTATAGCCGCATAGCGGTAACCCGGAACAAACAGACAGACAGAATCAGACAAAAAAAATTAAACTGGTTTTTAGGCATAGGTATGGTGCAAATAACCGTATTAGCATGAAAAAAAACCTATTATCTTTACTTTATAAACAGACACTTCAATTTTATTTATTTGTATTGATTTGTATAGATGATGTATTTACTTACATTGTTATTTTTGTGCTAATTGCATTTTTATTGATTATTACTTTGTACATTACATAGGTAACTAAAATGCGGCATTTGTGACAAACTAAAGCCTTCGTTTTTATAGAGATGCTGTATAAGTAGCTAATGTCACGTTTCAAGTCGAGCAAGGTTCTCTAGGGAAGGTTAAAAGAACAAATTTTTATAATGAGCATTTGAGAGAAATCGTCAAGCAGTTGCTAGCCTTCAGTGATCAACCAAGTATTACGAGAAGATCAAAATGTGATCGGGAAATCAAACTTGACGAAGGTTAATGAGTGATTTGTAAAATTAAAATAGAGTTGCTTAGCTACATATTATTTTTTCGGTGATAGTTAACAATAACTGATCGATGTATTCATCAATCAGTACTATTATAATATCAATGTAGGTAATTGGCCTTACACCGGCCTGAACCACACTACTGTTAAATAACGGTATATTTTGCAATCCCTGACAAGTTTAAATTTAAAACACATTGTTCAAAATTACGTTATTTTATTTTCGATGCATAAGAGTTATCTTATAATTATCAAAACATATTTTTTTTTCTTTTCGTATAAAATCGAATCCTGTTTTCGAGGACTGTATTAATGTTCCGTAAACCGTTGGTGAAGGTAGTGAGTGTTGGGAGGACAACGACCTGACCGAGTCAAGATGTATTCAAATTCAACTAACAATGTGAGGAATATTCAATTTTATAATGCAGAACATTGGGTTCAATGTACATAGTGGTCATGAGTCATTTCATTAGATATAAAGATAAATCGATGATAGAGGCTATTATACACACGTATTATTTGTGGGCTTCAGTAACTAAACGCGCACAGGATCAGAACAGATAAAATTGTCTAGTAAGAAGTTAAAACATTATCGTAAAGGGGACAGCGGCCGTCGCACCTGTGAGGTGCAGTCCACATGTGCCTACTAGCGACTGGAACTGTTGCTATTTTTACACGTCCACTCTATCTTATTTACTATTCTGGTCTGCGACTCATTGAATTGTGGTTATTATGTGCAAGTTGGATATGTGCCAGCGGTCTCGGACCTAACACACCGATACAGATTATTCGAGGAACGATGGCGAAGAGTTTTCAGGGAACAGTATTTATCGCAAACATATTCTTTACATATTTTGTGACATAAAAACACAAAACCGAGGACAGTTATTTGACCAATTACTTACTATGATCAACGTGGATATGGCTAAAATTATTTGCAGAGCATTAAATTGGCACATATTTATAGAACCTTATAATAAAGGTAAAACATAAAAGCATGACATTTTAGATCTTGAATAAGGTTGTCGGGGTCGTTTACATACTATACAAGCAAGTGTCTCTCGTTGAGCCGCAAGAGAAGAGATCGCGTCAAACCGGCAACGGAGCCGCGCGGTGGCAACAAGTAAACCGGTCGAAGGCGCCGGGTGTCGGGCGCGGGGATCGACCGAGGCATAACTTTGTAAACAAACTGATTTAGCTACATTTTTTGCAATTGATTAGAACTATAAGTTAGGCGTTTTATTACTGATTTTAAGTAAACAGCTTTATAAAGGGCCGGTACTCATAATGTAACACATTTGGTTTATAATTATTTAGCTCCCTACATTATAATTGCTAAATATTACCAAGTTCTGGGATTCACTAAAGCAATTGTTTGCATGAAACGTGAAATAATGTGATGGCGCGGCCTATATGAATACGTTTGGAGGAAAAGGCTTCGCAGGTGCATTAATCGTGTAAGTACTGTGTATGTACCAATAGACAATGCACTGAATGTCAATCCATACGAAGCCTCATACTCCGTGGTCTTGAAAGCTAAAAATGACGAGGACGCTGGCGTACTTGAGGGCATGTGATCCGCATATAATCGTTTTTTTTTCGAAATAATTTAGAGTAAATAGTTCAATAGACTACACACCGCACCGTCAAGTAGCAAATCGAAATCCGTTAAGTAGGTCATCATATAATTTCGCAAGCGTATCGAGTGCCGCAAACGTTAACTGGTACGCCTGAGGCGAGTCAAGGCCTGTTTGACGATGAAGCCAAGATCCTGACGAAGCTGCACCGTTACTGCCTCTCTACTTTATCCAGATTTTCCACTAAATATATTCCATGATTTAATATTAATAAAAAGTTTCTTAATGTTAATTTGAAACGTCATTAGCGATAAGGTCACTGAATTATGTAAAATGTACAGAGAACTACGTGCTACCCAGACAACTGTCACCTATATGACATCTTGAGAAATGTAAGATTAAAATATAAATTACGTCTCAAGTATATATTTAATTAATAATTATAACGTGTTAATTACGATGCATTGTCGTGACAATAGTAAAAAGAAGAAAATGACATATTTAGTGAATATATTTTAGACAGTCTTTCTTTACATTCTGCCAAACAATAGCATTTGAATGGGTGTCTATGGTGCTAATCTGTAGCTTTTAAAAATATAATTCTTAAATACTAAATAAGTATTTTAGAAGAGACAATTTCATAAATGGTTATTAGTAAAAAAACATTTGCATCCCAGGAATTTAATCTTTCTACTGGAACTCGATTCAATAGAATAGTAAAAATACGAGACGATAAGATAAGAAGTTCATTGTGAAATTCTGATGAATAGGTTGATTATCTCGTTTTCTAATTTATCTACATTCAAATTAAATACGATTTTGTAGTTAATTCTTCAAAACTTGTCAATTCTATAACTAATTATTACTTGTAGGTATTAATTCTATAACTTGTTCTAAACTCTATAACAATAATGAAACTTACCCCGTCATTGCCGGATAGGAACTGTATTTTTGGTTTTGCCAATCTGTCCTGAAACAGAAAAAGGATTTTGTTAATAATCTTATTACTATTTTAGATGCAAAAGTTTGTGACCAATAACGTCAAAGCGGTAGAACGGATCTGGATGATATTTGGCATAAAACATCGCGGATGGTTACTAATCATGTCTACTGTTACTATTTGCCAAAAGGTAGCCAAGAACTAGGTCTGTTTCTGTCCGTAAGTCTAATCATTAAAAGGAATCGGAGAAATCGACTTAAGATCAAATAAATGGTATGTTCAACTGTTGTTGAACTTTAATGTTTTTAGTATCCCAGCTGTAAAAAGTAAAAGAAGATATAGTTTCTTTCACTTGTATAATTCATAATATGTATTAAGTTAATAGTGGTACTTTGGGATTAATTCTATTTTATTTGTTTAATGATTCTGGAGACCAACAAAGTTTACTTATATAATTTAATAAAAATCGTACATTAAAGCTCTTTGTATGCTGTATATATTTGTAATTAACATCATTGTTACGCGCACTCGGGCGCTACATAATAATGTTTTTGTAAATATGGGTGTATTAATGAAGTTATAACTTACTGTAAAACGTAGTTCGGATACGTGTAGTTTTCCGTTAATTTATAGCTTGTATTTTACTCCCAAGTAATATATATTGGATTAACTCATTATATTGTCTGGTGTAACGAAATATGTAGTAAAACACTAATTTAGTTTCAATTACTTAAATTTCATGAAGTAGGTTTTCCCTTTACGTTCTGCTGCATAAAAATGCAGATATGAACTGTATTACAACATCACCCAAGTTTTAGAACTTGTTAATTCGTCCATAAATCCTGTATCTAAATTATGAACATTTCCATATAATTGTACAAATAGTTTTCATTTAAAACTTAATTAACTTGAAATATTTTAATTGATGTGATAATTTTACACTCAATGCATTATCTTAGAAAGACAAAATGTATTCAGTTAATTAGTTAGATACCTATACATCGCAAGAGCACCACTTAGTTAGTAGAATTATCGTCTGGATCATACTATTAATATTCGAAAATAACCAATAAAAATATGGTAAGATGATGATATGACAAATATGGATACAATGATACTTTAAACTTTACAGAAAGTGTTAAGTTCGTTAGATAATGCTGGAACAAGAGAAGGACCCGGCTGATATTAGACGAAAAATTCTTATAAGAAATTATAAGATTAACAATATGTTAATGTGGGAATTCCTGAACTGTTTTAAACCTTTATCGTATGACTTACTTGTTCATTGACTTAGTCACTCAGAATAAGTGTAGTAGAAATTACTACTTTACATCTTGATTATTGATTAAGAATTAAACTTTGTGGAGTTATTGGGTTTTCTCATGTTATTGTAAATACCTATTTGTCTATTCGCTTATTGCAAAATTTCACTCACTGGTTTTTCATTCCTTTTGACGTAAACTAATTATTAACGTAGATAAACAGGAAAATATAAATATGACACATACTCGACTCAGCCAATGAAACACCCGTATGACAATATTATAATAAATTCTTACATTATAACAAACTATTTGTCTGCTTACATAGCCGAGTCAGACAACGGGGAACACCCTGGTGGTCTTCTCCGTTTTCTTAAGTGAAAAGTGTGTTGCGATTACCCAATTATGATAGAACGCCGTATAGTTCTCGATTTCAAATAATCGTTTTGTAATTGTAATTGTTTTGAATTCAATTTTGAACTTCTGACACCGTCAAGGAATCTTAGGACAGAAAGGAGCATCTTTGTGACTTTTAGTAGCACATATGTAAGAAAATGTCTCGAGGTAGGCTGGCTGACGCATATTAAGTGTGTAATCCGGATTCGATTCTTTTTTTAAACCCTAATTTAAAGATTTATTAGAGACAAAAATTTAATAATGCAAGCGGTTCGTGGGTCTCAGCAATGGTAAGAATATAAAGCTTTTCTACTAAGACCAGTCGAGCGATAAGTTACTAAATTAAAAGTAAGGCAAGCAAAGATTAAACCCCTAAGATAAAATTCAGGAAACATAATACGACTTAAATTCCTAATATACATAGATAGAAGCAGGTGATTTTTAGGCAGTTTATCTCCATACTATTAAGATGGGAAACAAGCACACCTCATTTTTTATGGTAAGGGAGTCCCTTGTACAGGTCTTGTCCTTTTAACAACCTTTACTTATACCTAACTATCAACCAATGTTCCGTACCCGCTTATTAAAGACCTTTGCTTTTATAGACAGACTTTACAAATAAATCGATAAAAAAGGCACTAAATTCCAATTAAATTCATTTTTATTTGGATAAATTGTGAGAATTAAAATTTCCACATAATTACCACGGCACAACCTAATGAAACGTCGTAATTAGGCGACCAGAAGCCACGTTGGGCAACGAGTTGGGACGGCCACAATAAGCAAGTGTCGGCAAGTCATAGCGTTGCACAAGCGACGATGGTCGAACGCGAGAAACATAACTAGGCTGGGCGGCAGCGCTGATGATGTAAACTTGAAAATTGCTTTAGTTACTTACTTAACCGCGAAACACAATGTGAAATTCTAATAGTTGCATTGCTGTCTAGACTCAGAGTAGGAAGGGATGACCCGGAACTTACAATGGTTTGCATCCGTGGCCGTGACGCGTTATACCTTGAGGTTTAAGAAGTATTTTTCAATTTAATAACTTTTAAAACGATTGAAAAAATTATGAGAATTGTCAACATTAATATTAAATTGGTCGCGAATGCCAAACCAGTTTTAATAGACAAGGTCACGATAGTAAATCGATTATTGTATTAGAGTATAGAGTATTACCTTAGTTCATAACTAAGACGTTAAATAAATTATTGTACTATATAAATTCAATTCATGTGAAAAAATGATTTTTTTCATTACATTACGAAAAGAAAAACATATTTTGTAGGTACTTGTTCGGTTTGAAGTAGTACGATAGTCAATAGCTGATAATATAAATTTAAATTAGGGACTTTTATTTTTTAATAAGGCTTAAGCTAATCATTGATTGGAAATCTGTTAAGAAAATACGTCACAAATTTATCACTCGCAGTACTAATGAAGACTAATTGTTAACTGGCGTTACAGCTTAAATAAGCTAAAGAGTTTTTAGTACTTAAATATATAAGTATACCTCAACAGCGCATAGTAATCAGTATTATTTGGCTGAGTAAAAAATATAAAAGCAGTTTTGGCCTTGTGTTGAATTGCTACGTTTGCGGTGAGGCAATAAAATACCTGCACTAAGTGACCTTAACGGAATATACCGATGACCTTTTAGCAAATAAAACAGATAAAGCTTTTACTAACTTGATTTTCGAAGATTGTAATCCTAGGTAAATATTTTATGTACTTAATTATGATCGCCTGTGGCATGACGTATAAGTTGTAGGTATATCAATATATTATATTTATCACCTTGACAAAACTGATGAGAATAAATTCCAAAAGCCATTTATTATATCCTGAAACAGGACTATAGACCAGAAGCACTCTAAGTGTCTATTAAAGACCTAATAACAAGACAGGATATTTGGGAGGTACTTCTATTTTTCTGCACACCCCAGAGAGAAAGGCGTAAGTTTATGTATGCGTTTTCGTCCACGATAATCTGAATATTAGGTTGTGTAAAACATTAACATAGATTAGTTTTGAAGACTGATGATAAGAGGCTTTTACAGCTACATTACTCCTTCAAGGTAACAATAATGCATAAAAGTAATTGTTACTATATAATATTAGTAAAAATCGGTAAGTAGATCAGATTATTATGATTTTACATCATTTCTACAGTTGTATTTAAGTATAAGCATTCCAAATATATATGTAAATATCCTTTATTTGGAATGTGAGATCAATTTTAACGAGTTTTTAAAATGGCCGTAAAAACCGTAATATTTCCAATGTTAGAAGCATAACTTGTAAAAAGGATCATTAAAAATACAATTGCAGGCTTAAAAAGACAATGCCACGTGCACGATAACGTCAGTTAAAATGAATTGTTAAGCTTTGAAAGCATCTTTTGGTGGTGTATTTAACAATAACATGAAAGAGTCAGGGCGCCTACCTGACCACCGGAATCCGAGAACCATAAAATGAAAGTTGTTCTCGTCTAGTTTTGTATTACGTCGCCTAAGAAACACTTGTGTGTTTTTTACTTAGACCATAATCAGCTGCAAATAAATAATGCGTGTTCGATATAAATAACATTAAGACTATTAGTAAAAAATCTATGAAAATACGTGTAGAAGACTAGGTTGTGTATATATTTTCTAGAAACTAGAAATATCACGATTTTGTAAGATGGAACTAATATCATCCAACAGTGTGTAACTTTATTCAATACTTCGTCTCTCAAAAGGAATAAGTTTTGCCTGTTTTTGTTCAACCAATAATTTTAAACCATCTAATCTAAGAGATACCGTTTGACAGTTCTAACAGATTTAAGAATAGGGTCATTGAAGAATAGGGTAACAAGAGTCTCATCACTATGGTAGGTAAATGACCTAACTGCGTGACTTTGAAACGAAGTCTTAAAAAAGACGTCTATTGTATTTATGTTATTTTACTTAGTTTAAAGGATTTAAATTTATTCATTTAGTGCGTCTTAGATTAGATGGACTATAGTAAAAACTAAGTAACATACACGAAGTATAGGAAGTCTAAAGGCATTACAGAAAGCCTACTAAGTCTTTAGAGATTAGCAATAATGATTGTTATTATTTTATTAGAGAGTAACATTTCATATTCACCATATTATTTACTTATATGAGATCATTGATATAATACTTACATAGATGAGTAATTACCGCCTAAAATCGTTGCTACTGCACATATGTCCACAGGCATATGCGTAGCAAACGTCAATTCATTATTCAATGTGGCGTCAACCGAGTTGAACATAGCGACACATGACAGTAACAATCGCCAAAATGGCTAAATGCGTAGTGAAAGAATGCGATTCAAGGTCACAAAACATTAATAAATCATGCG